TGTTCTGCTGTGCTATCAATGTTCCTCACACCACTATTGGAAATAAGTGACTGTCATATGAGATGGCTTCCCAGACCAGCACATCAATTATATCATTTGCATTTCACCTGATGGTCTGTCTGAGGTTTCTATCCTTATATGCTCTGATGTATTTACTTCCCTCAACATCTCATATTTAGGTCAAACCAATCCAAATGGCAAGGAATTTGATAAAGTGGTCCTCTTTTCTCAGTCCAAATGATATGGCTTTTCTCAAACTTTGTCTGTCAGCTGTGCAACTTTGTGTGTCATACATGCATGTCTGGAGTTTGAAGTCTTCCAAACAGTAAGTACACTGGACTTTTAGGAACTGAACTGAAATTTATGAACATAGTGAGCATCTGTTTGTTTTTTTTTAGGATACTGTGATAACAGTTTCAAAACCACTCAGGTGGCATTACCTGACTTGCAACAGACCACAACTGTAATTATTTACAAATCTGTCTGACAAGTGAGACATAGTTGTGTGCCAAGTGTTAAGTTTTGGAATAATTGGACAATTTTCAGTGCGTAACTTATATATATATATAAATGGACATGTATGTCCCTATATTTCACTTTTCCGCCAAAACTACTCGCATGTGAATGGTGTTTGTATGTGGTAGTAGCCCCAAGTCTCCATTCGTGCACCAGGGGGGTTGCGTCTCGATAGCTATAAGGGTGCGGGAGATATGGGCTTGAAAGTGGTTGAAAGTGGCTTTCTATTTCGAATGTTTTGTTCAAATTTGTTCGAACAATATTCGAATTAAATTCGAACAAGTTTGAATATTGGTTCGATTATAGAACGATTGTAAACGTTCCAGAAACATTGAAAATAGTTCGTTTGACTGGATGTGAACAGGAGACGTTCAGAAATAGAATCGGGACCAGGAAGTGTTAATATAAAGCGGCATGCAAGATTTACAGGCGGTTTGTTGCGCTTTTGTGGGAAATCAAACATATTTTTATGCTCGTGTAAAAATTCTCTGGAAACGTCTGGAAACGGGAGACCTAATTCTTGCATTTTGTGAAAACTATTGGCTATAATGTAATTATCTTAATCTTCACTACCGTTACTTTTTGCCCACAAATAAAAACCCAGCGAAGAAGGTCTTTGCAGCTAGTATATATATATATTATACATACATACAAGCACAAATATTTATCTATTTAAACTCATGAAGAAAGACAATATACATTTATTAAAAACAATTTTTCAGGAAGTATGTGATTGTGGCATTATATGTCAGTAATAATAATTATATGTTTCACTCTTCCACAAACCAGGAAAGCACATGAAATAACAAACAGGCAAAATATATTTCTCCCAGCAGAATGGTGAAAAATTAGCACAATCTGAAGCAGATCTTAGAAGAAGACCAAAAGCATTCATTCTGTGTTAATTGTTTCATTATCATGCTGGGAGAAGTATAAGGTTAGTGTGTTTATTATTTTAATAGTAATTATTATTAGGAAAATGCTATCTTTTTTCCATTTTGAATTTTCCTAATTACCCTTCAGCTGATAAATTCCTTACTTATAAACACAATTGCAACTTTCCCAATGTTTGATATTCAACAATATATTGGGTTGTTCGGAAAGTAAATATCTTACAGTTTAAAAACTTTGTATAGACCAGAACAAGAAATAATCTGAGAGTGCCTGATCTGGCAAATATGGTTGATGTGATAGCATATCCCATCTAAGCTGTAACAGTTTCTGACGAGTTACCAAACTTGTGTGAAATTTGGCATTATATAGTAAAACACTAAACCTTTTTTGTTGATCAATTCTGGCCTTTTTTGTTTGATGATATTACTCAGTTTGTTTACTCAATGGCAGTACACTTTCGAATCAATTGTTGAATTGTCTGGTTAAAGCTCGGAAGAAAAAAAGAAAAAAATTTACTTAAAATCCCACCAAAGAGAGCAACTCTCTTTAAGAACATGTGGAACCCATATATCGAGCTTTGAAACAAAACCAATTCATTTCAAATAATCATAAATGGTTCAATTCAACAAATTTAATCTCAGTGATTTCACGTGTTGTTATTTGGCAATTTGCTTCAATCAGTACCTTTATTTTCTTTTCATTGGCCATCCAGAACATTGTGCATCTTCAATATTGAAATTGTGAGAACGAAATTTTGTAAACCAGTTTTGGCACTGTCGTTCTGTCAACACATCTTCTCCACACATGTACCACAATTTTTTTCTTGTTTGAACAGCATTTTGATTTTTTGGTAATAAAAAAGCAAAATATGCCGAAAATGATGCTTTCAATTTTCCATATTTAATGGGACACCAAAAAAAAAACAATTATACAGAATCAAACAAAATCTTTTTACAAATAAGCCTTAAAATGTCAGCTATCAAAGTATATAATAAAAATTTGGTTTAAAATGAAATTGGCTGGTAAAAATACATCTAATTCCTCTAGTAATAAAAAAAAAAATTACTTTCCAAACAACCCAATATATAATTTTATTTCAAGAAATGTTTCCATAAACTTTAGAATAGAAAGTACTACCTGACTCTAGACATTTAACACAATGTTTTAATAAATAAGCAAAACATATGAATTAACAAAATTTGCCAATACTTTCAGCAATGTACAAGCTCATTAGCATCAGGAAAATCAAATGCAGAATGGCAAACAAAATTTCAAAATATTGGAATATAATAAAAAATTTTTCTTTTCTCTTTCCTACATCAGTATTAATTAATATTCATATCAATACATTATACTTTAAAAAAAATTTAGCACTACATTTTTGGATGTGTAATTTAACTTTGCAAAAATTTTCAAAAAACTTATTCTGTTTTGTACTAAACAAATGATGAAAAAACTTTCTAATTGAGCAAAAAATTTTTGATTAGGAAAATTTAAAATTTACTATGGTAGTATTTATTGTTTTCAACACCTGCAAAAATTGAGCTGAGCAAGATTTAAACAGATTTAGTGTTTCAAAAAAGAAGCAATTGTATCTGATTTAGTGACTGATTTTTGGAAACTCAATTCCTTTTGAAATTTGCTTCATAACAACTTAATTAATTTATATTTAATAACTTGTTATCTTATTTAATATTGCCAGCCAGTAATGTTTGTAAATATACCAATGCATTTAGAGCTATTAAGCTGGAGTCTAAAATTGATTTTCATGTTAAATTGTTTAAAACTCAAGGAATGTCATGCAAAAATTGAGTGACATGTTTGATTACACTTGTAAACAGAACTGAACTACCTGTATGTATTTTGTAAGCATTCAAAATCCCAGATTAAGTCTATGGCAGAGTTTTCCTGTTATACTTCTCAAGGACATGATCCAATCAAGATTCCAAATAGCTTACAAAATTTAAATTACAAATTCCACTCAAATTGACTTGACTTGATATCCATGCCAAATTTGGTTAAGATTGGTCAAATGTTTTCAGAGGAGTTTATTTAAATCCAATGAGATTTGCTTGTAAAGAAATGAGTTGTGCTCACTCAATTCAACAAGAATATTATATTGTAACTAGTACATTTATTTAATGTAATGTTTTTTTATTTTATTGTAATTTTTTTTATTTACTATCTTATGCATGTTTTTTGAATTTCTAAATTTTATCCACATTACATAGAAGCATTTTCGATTTTAAATTTTTGTCAGAAATCAAATATGTATCTTCTATGTCCTAAATAAAATTTTGATTGCTGGTGAAGACAACAATATATTGCCAAAAGTACTTGTTTTCTGCTCATTGATAAATATTGTATTTCTGAAAGATGATGATTTTCTCAGTATACTTAGATGTTGGTGTCGAGTCCATCAAAGGACTTGAAAATATTTTCAATACTCTATATGTAAAATTTTATAGAAGAGATATTGAAATTGGCTATTTGTTTAAATAACAGTTTGATTTTTTTACTCTTTTGAATATGATACGGATATTTGTTATATATTTTTCATTTTATAAGTTTTATGATTATAAGAATTTGAAGTGCTTATAAATTTTAAATATTTTTTTTTTCTTTGTTTATATTTCTATTTAGTTTATAAATTTTATTTCTTATAAACAGAAAACATTATTTGTTAAGGGAACATAACCCTTAAACAAAGAACATTTTATTACAGTAGAATCTTGTTTTAATGGATTACAGAACAACAGATTTTTATTCCAGGTCCTGCCAATTTTACCTCCTTTTAGCAGATCCATATCTCAGAATAATGGATTTTTTTCTAGCTTTATGTATTGTAAACTTTGTGTTTTTCCAACCTCTACTTAATATTTGGGTGTTTTTGGGAATTTGTAGAGTTCATTCAATAATGCACTTTTTACATCTGCAATACATACAATTCAATTAAAAAATTGTACAAAGAGAGAGTTAGCAGGCTGATATGATTCAGGAGAAGCCACTTAATGAACATTTTGATACTGGTAGAAATATAATTCTGAAATTTTGAGGCCATTGAGTATTTTCAAGTCATGAAGACCTTCCTGATGACTTTCAGCATAAATGAACAGGATGTACAAGACATTTCTAATATCGAGCAGTTATTGTATACAATAGGCAGAAAAATGGCATCAAAACAAACCAAAATAGACAAGTTTTTTAACAAATCACAAAGTCAAGTGAAATGCTAATGAGCATACATTCTGTACTCTGCCTCTTTCTATGCTATACTTATATGTATGGTACAGGGGTAAATAAGGGATGTGTTCCTAGGTGTGAGAAATCCATTGTTTGCAATATAACAGATGCTCAGAACAATGGATGATTTTCGGCTGCCTGAGCAATCTGTTAAAATGAGATTCTACTGTATTTATTTAGAAAATCAATATTATTAATTATGTTTTGCTGGTTTTCATTTCCATAAACGTAGTTTACACTAGCCACTAATTTCATAATTAAATTTTACAATTAATTAATAATACAAGCACAATTTTATTAAATAGAAGTGTTTTAAAAATATTTAAAATGGATTAATTATGTTTCAGATCTTGTTGTGAATTTTTAGATCAGTTACTACATACTTGGCCAACACATACTTTAGAAAAACATACCTCTCTTCTTCAAGAAGCAATTAAAAAAGGAATAAATGATGCTGATCCTGAAGCAAGAGCATTTTCAAGAAAGTAAGTTAAATGACAGTTAAAATATAATGTTATTTTCATGTAAAATTGATTATTAATTGAATACCATGATAATACTACAGTAATATTATATAAGGCAAAAATAAGTTTTGCTTTTTATATAAAGCAAAAACAAATTTAATGATTATGCTGATAGTGATAACTCTTTCACTTGACATTACCTTGTTAGCTTGAAAGAGCTCAGAAGTTATAATCTTGCAGTCTTAGAATAATGCTTGCAAAGCATATGCCTCCAATAGGACCATCCATACTAATAAGGTTTATAGAGAGAAATGAAGCAAAGACTGACCTACAAGCATTATCTGATCTACAGTGTTATCTGATCATCTAAACAGTGTTTGTTTTCCTTAGCATTTGCAACTGATTTATAAATACCTGGTTTAGGTATATAAGCATATAAACTTCTGTGGGGGAAAAAATGATTGTGACCAGCTTGGATTTCACATGGTGTAATAAGTTCTATGCTAATGGATTAGACAAAGGCTCACATTCAAAAGTGTACCACAATCTATTTTAGCCACTAGTGATGATGCAGCATTACCTCAAGTATAGCTAGTGCATTACAAACATGCATACATTCACCACTTCACTCACACACAATGGACAACATATACCAACCTGGCAATAATAAATGCTTCAGTGACAATTCATCCACTGATCACCAAGGTCAGAAAAACACATCAGTAGATGAAGTGGATTCAAGACATGAGTGAATGAATGAATGAATTCATCTTTACCTTTTACACCATCACAAAACTGGAAAGATATCATAGCATACAAACAACTACATAACAAATTCACACAAAAATATCAACATCTCACTGTTACAGAGCAGAGTTTTTGACCAGTAAAGAACAATTATGCACATTATTCTACAAACAATGCTTGAACATACCAAACACAAAGTTGTGCCACACATACATCAGCATGCTGGAATACTAGTTCATAGAGATTAGATACTCATTGATGGTAAATGTACACAGCATAACAGGCACTAATAAAAAGCATAAACACAACAATTATAGCTGGTGACACTATAGATATAGAATTAATTAACATAAAATTTGAATCAAAATTTAATTTATATTAAATATTCTATATTTTTATTTAAAGTAAGTTTGTTTTGTATTGTACTGAAAATTATTCTTTCTGTAACAATTTTATTACATCAATTATTGTTAATTCTTAATAAAATAAGTATTTGCTGTTAATATTTTAATTATAAATTTATCTGAAATAATTTTTATGGAATTAAAGTTTTAGTTTGAATTTTTTTCAGTTTAAATAAAAAAAATTAATATTTGCTTAATCATTTTCTTCTGTTTAAATTAACTCTAAAAATTTTTCTAGGGCTTTTTGGGGATTTGCAGATCATTTTAAGGAACAAGCAGATAATCTTTTAACATCATTAGATAGTAGTAAACAGAGGATGCTTCAAGGTGAATTATCTATGAGTACATCATCTAGTAACAATTCATTAAACAGCACAACAAAGCGTAGCAATGTATATTCTCATGGAGGATCATCAGAAAATTTGAGGTAAAATAATTTTATAATATATATTTAATATCATAATTTCTTGCATATAACCTGTAGAAAATTGCTAAAAACCTTCAAAGTTATGCTTGAAAACATGTTCCATAAGCCATATGCAGTTTAGAAAACAGCATCATAGAAAAAATTTAGAAAACATTTAGAAAAACATTTAATTTTTTCTTTGTTTCATTTATTTTATTTTTATTAGCAATTCATTATATATTAATACAGTGATACCCCGAACTTACGCGATAGGTGGGACCGAGCGATAACCGCGTAAGTCGAATTCACGTAAGTCGGGGTATAATTTCGCAATTTGTGTAAAATCCAAGTCGGATGTATGTAAGCTAATAAACATTCTCGTTAATTTTATCTCGTCTTTTGATTCGTTCACGGTTACAAGAAATCACCACATAAAGTCTCTTGAGTCTCCATAGATAACACAAACACAGAAATAAATAACACAAAATAAATTGTAGCTATGTGTCGATTCCGCACGACACATCCGAACGATAGTGTGAGAAGAGTGAGTAATCGAGAGTTGCGTTGCGTTCAAACAAAAGAGGAATCGACGAGATTTGAAAATCGCGTAACTCCGGGTTCATGTAAGTTGAGGTATTACTGTATAAAATAAGAAAAAAAGAGTATTTGAGACAGTGCCACCTAAAGTGCATTAGGTATCAAAAATATTAATAATTATTAATGATGCAATGAATAGTATATTTGGCCAGGAGTGTGGCCAAATAACCAAATATTCGGCCAAACTATTTGGCTTGATTAACGCACATATGAAAATTGGCATGCAAACTGCATTATGGCAAGGATCGCTCATCTTGCTTTCTATTGGCCTGCTGTCACTACACTTCGCCACTCGCGTTAATTCTTGACAGTTGTAGAGCATCATGACAGTATGTGATAAGCAATGATATTAAATGTGGATAACAATGAAATTACCTACATGTGTAAATAACGGAAAAAAGAACAGAGGAGGACCGCGAAGTGAAAATGTGAAAATAAATATGAAATTGAGTTGATAACATAATAGAATGAGTCAACTTCAAAGAACACCGTAGCAGGTGACCTTTTTTGTACAATGAAACAAAAAGTTAATTTAATTTTTAAGTTTATAATAAGGATAATTTTATAAAAATGCTTTACAAATCATTAATTTTTTTTTTCCACATTTTATGACCTAAGTTTCTATCTAATGTCTAAGAGTAAAAAATTTGTATAAAAATTTTTACTCTTTTTCATCCCCTTTAGGGTTGAATTTCATAAAATCTTTTCTTAGCACGTCTAAACTTTACAAAAGGAACACATCCTCAAATTTTTAAGTTTCTAGCACCAGTAGTTTTGGCTCTGCATTAATTATCCTATCAGGACTTGTTCTTTTNAATAATGCAGTATTAAGAACACACCTAAATGCAAAACATACTATTAAAGCAATTAGTGTATATGTTGTCCCTGAGAAAGCAACATTATTACAAAAATATTGATTTTTGTTTTCTTTCAACTAATTTTTGGAAATATTGGTTGAAGAAATTTATGAAGTAAATTATCTTTCATTGTAACAAACTTTTAAAGGAGCAAAAGCAATGCAATATTGTTTTGCTTATTGTATAAAATGAAAAACTAAATTAACAAATTCTATATCCATCAAATTATCTATAAACAGATTTTCTAAATTTGACATATAGAAATTGGATAAATATGGAATGATAGAATCTCATTAGGGCAATTTTCTAGAATGTTTAATATCTAGATAAATAAAAATGAGATAAAAATATTGATATTCTGCAAATATAATTGATACTGCATTAAAGAATAATTTTTCTGCTTCTCTTAAATGTAACTGATTCATCAAAGCAGGAACATGAACAGTTAAAGGTCTTGTCTACATTGATAAACATGTAATTATTCAATTACACATTTTTTACTCAAATTTAATTGAATAGTTAATGATGTAAAAAGATAGCCATCTCTTTATTTAAATAAAAAATAAATTGCATTCTGGAAAAAAATTATTATTTACAATTGAAGAATTAAAATTTTCATCAAATAATGATGTAAAACACTTTTTAGTAGTAGTCAACTAGACTATAGGATGGTAATCAGTAATTAAAGGATTTTTTTTTTTTTTAAACCATTTGTAATTTAATTTCATTTCATTTCTGTTTTGTGGAAAATAGAATATTTATAAAATGATTTAAATAATTTAACCAACTGCTGTTTTAAATAGACCAAAAAATTCTTTAAACAAACTATTTGGAATCAAATCAAGACCTGATGCAATATAGTTTTTTTAGAGAATCAATTACTCTAATTAATCCATGGTGAATTCTTTATCCAAAACATCATTTTCAGACCATCTTTGTTTGAATGATAGGATATGTTTTATAAAACAAACACCATGAAAATCTATTATCTTCATATTTGAAACTTGTTTTCTTCTAAATCTATTAATTTTCAACCAAAATGCATCAGTAGGCTTAATAACATAAGTTGAATTCCCTGTAGATATTTTGACTTTATTAAATTGGAATAAATTCTTTTATTCCTAGTATATTCCTTTAAATTTTGAAATGTTGGGTTGCCTCACAAATAAAATATACTAGCATATTGAACAATCAATATTCTCACAAACAACAAAAAGGCTGTTGTAGATACCATATAGGATGCAAAGAACTAGATTTAGTTATACACACAGCACAGAAATCCACATATAGCATGCATATATTACAGGAAAGCATTTAACAGAGTCAAACTTTCATGATTAAGTAAAAAAAGAACAATTCTAATATCAATATTATTTGATGTCATGTGTTTGAGTGTTTGATCATTCAGCTTCTGAACATTTTATTCATTTTAATGAACTTAAACAGAACAAACTCAGCAGTTGACTTTTAAAACAACTTCTGAATAGTTTCCTGAGAGTTATTATATAGACAGAAGAAATTACTGGAAATTTATTATTTTTCAGTTGAAGAGTAAGATTATTAATTAAAGCATGGATTGATGTACAGTAAATGATCAAGAGAGAATTAAAAGCAAATTATACATGTGTGTCTTTGATAGTTTCAGGAAATATTGTGATGATAGATGAATGTGTCTGCAGTGTGCAAAAGCTTTTTCAGTTTTAAAAATATCAATACATTTAGTAAGTTTAGACAGTGGAAAAGTTGTTAGATGAGTTCAAAATTGCAAGTTAAAGTTAGCAGATAACTTTAATCCTTGCATAACATGAATCTGCTTTCTGTTTGATTTTTAAATACAGATATTCCATGGGCTATCTGCAGAAAACTGTGGTATTAAAAAGTATTTATTGTAATATTATTAAAGCCAAATTGAATGACTAGAAGAAAATAATATTGGCTGTTTAAAATGCTATCTTTATAATTTGTTTTTTCATAAACAGATAGAATAGATAGATAATTTTGTTAAAGGCATTAGAACTGCTAGAAGTATTTATTTATTTTATCATGAATATTGGGTATTTGTGACTTGGCCTTTATTATATTATTTTTATCTTAAGAGAAAGAGTACTTTTTATTTAATTCAGTTATTATTAATATTTTATTACACAGTTATTTATCTTTATATTCATTAATTTTTGTTTTGTAAAATGATATTATTTACCTGTATGAAATTTAAGTTTTTTTCATTATATTATTTTATTATATTGTAGAATACTTTGTTTTATGAGTAATTTGATAATTAAACATTTAAGATTTTACAAAATTATTACATATATATAAAAGTTTTCCTAAAATTAAAATTTTTAAAATTTTATTCTTTAGCAAGGCCTAATACAAAACGTGCTGAAATGTCTGGAGGTGTTGTAACATCTCCAGAAAGATTAGCAAGGATGAAATTAAAGAGCACTTCACAGTCACAACGTAAGTAACTAACTAATATATTTAATACTTAAAGAATTCATAATTTTAAAATATTTTATATAATATAATATAACCAATATAACTTTTGGTATATTTATTATTTATAATTATTTTTTGATAATAATATTTAAATATTTTGATTAGAATTTTCATAAAAATGCTTATTTTAATCTTAGATGAATATAAATTTTTTTGTAGAATAGAAGTTTCATTTGAAAATAATTTTACATATTAAAGTAGACAAAAATATCTTTATTTGAGTACATTGGAACCTGGTTAACTTTAATCAGTCAGGGAAAATTTTAGAGTTAGAAAGTTTCAAGTTATGACAGTTCAGCTAAAAATCAAGATTTTGTGCATTGGTTTCTTGGTGATCCATAATAAATTATCCATATGACAATTCCGTGGGTCTTATATTATGTAGAATTGTTGTCAATGTAAACCTCTCTGTTTTTCTGAAACTCAAAAATGCTTAACTGAATGGGTAAACAAGCTACTGAGAAATTATTTCCCTAATTGTTGATCCATTCATTCCAAGATGTTTATTAACGATATTTCATTGCAATATTTTGTGCCTGGAATCGACTTGTTTGCTGTATTTTATCACAAAAAAGAAAAAACTCTATAATAGTTGTTTTTAAAATTTTGCCACAAAGGTTAAAATTTTTACATAGGATTGTAAAGTGATATTTTTTTAAAGTTAATTTATCAAAAATATATTTATTTATTACATAATTTAGTTGGAGAAATTCATCTGCAACCAAATAAAACAAAAAGGAGGTTCGAATAGCTGTTAGAGTATCTGAATCACACAAGCTGGAAGCCTCTGACCCTTTTTCTGTCACATGACACAATGTTTATTTTTACCTATACATCATTCTCGTGATTTATAGAAAGTTTCTGATTAGTTTTTTCAATGATAAATGTTAATTATTTTATTTAATAGAAAATTAAAATTAAAAGTTTGGAGAATTTATGGAAATACCATATCAAAACTCCATTCAAGATAAACATTTCAACGAATTCGAGATAACCAGGTTCCCTGTATTTTTTTGCAACTATTATATGTAAATATAAAAAGTATCAGTTGTAAAATCAAATAGAATT